TGACCTGTATGAAAAAATAGCTGAGAACCAATCAATGTGGCCAACTGATAGGGAAGCTCCAAGGAAAACATCGAGGTTACACAACGTGGATGCAGTAACAGCACTGGCCGCGCAAATGGAAGTTCTTACCATGAAAATGGACAATCTATCTAAGTCAGTCAACATGGTACACCAATCACCACCTGTTTGCGAAGGCTGTGGAGCGGATCATGCTAGTACACGCTGCCCTTTGGCGTCTACACATGTTAATCAATCCGAAGAAGTAAGCTACGCACAAAACTTTCAGAGACAGCAAAATAATCCTTTCTCCAACACATTTAATCCGGGTTGGAAGAACCATCCAAATTTTTCATGGTCCAATAATCAAGGACAAGAACAGGGAGGAAGCAATCAGAATAAACCACCAGGGTTCCAACAGCAGCAACATCAAGGAAGAAGGCCATCGTTGGAAGATTTGCTGGCTCAATACATTACTAAAACTGAGACCAACTTTCAAAACCAACAAGCCTCGATCAAGAATTTGGAACAACAGGTTGGACAAATTGCAGCCGCACTATCAGGTAGAGCTCAAGGGACATTGCCTAGTAATACTGAAACAAACCCTAAGGAACAGGTCAAAGCAATCACTACACGTAGTGGCGTCCAGTTACCAGAAATACATGTAAAGCGGCCAGCAACTGTCATCGAAAAGGCACCTACCATGGACGAGGAGCAAGTGGATGAATTAGACAAGGCCGCTGAGGAAAATCAAGTTGAGTCATCAGATAGTCCACAGGTGAAAGCAACTGCTCCTGTCAAAGCATATGTTCCTCCAATCCCATTTCCACAAAGATTGCAAAAACATAAGCTCGACAAGCAATTCCAGAAATTTTTGGATGTGTTCAAGAAGCTGCATATTAACATACCATTTGCTGAAGCTTTAGCCCAAATGCCCAGCTATGCTAAGTTCATGAAGGATATTCTATCAAATAAGAGGAAGCTAGAAGACAATGAAACAGTCATGCTTACTGAGGAGTGTAGCGCAATTCTCCAACACAAATTACCACCGAAACTAAAAGACCCAGGAAGTTTTACTATTCCTTGTCACATTGGTAATTTGTATATAGATAAGGCGTTGTGTGATCTAGGAGCTAGCATTAATTTAATGCCTTTATCTCTTTTCCGGAAACTAGGTTCGAGGGAAGCAAAACCGACAACAGTTTCACTACAGTTGGCTGACAGGTCGATCAAACACCCTCGTGGTATTTGTGAGGATATTTTGGTGAAGGTTGACAAGTTTATCTTCCCAGCAGACTTCATTATTCTGGATATGGAAGAAGATAGAGACGTCCCCCTCATATTGGGTCGTCCATTTTTGGCTACGGGAAGGGCTTTGATAGATGTGCAAAAGGGTCAGTTGATATTGAGGTTAAATGAAGAAGAACTGACAATCAACGTGTTTCGAGCTTTCAGATTTCAGAGCGAACCAGATTCTTGCATGCAGATTGATGTAATAAAAGAAGTGGTGTCAGAGACATTCAAACTAGATCACCCTCAAGATCCGCTTGAAGCGTGCTTAGTACATTCTCAAGATTTACCATCGGAAAAAGAGGAAGCAGAAGAATATGCACGTTATTTGGCAGCCATACTACCATTCTTCAAGCAATCGCGTTTGGAGCTCAGTGAAAGACCTACAACACCTTTACCATCTATACAACAAGCTCCAACTCTTGAACTCAAACAACTGCCAACCCATCTTCGCTACGCATACTTGGGGGAAAAGAATTCACTTCCAGTAATTATCTCAAATAGTCTGACAGAAGTGGAAGAGGATCAATTGCTGAGGGTGCTTCGAGAGCACAAGACAGCAATAGGATGGACGATATCAGATATAAAAGGGATCAGCCCTTCGCTTTGTATGCATAAGATACTGATGGAAGACGATTACAAAGCTTCAATTGAGCATCAACGCTGATTAAACCCGACTATGCAGGAGGTGGTAAGGAAAGAGGTATTAAAGCTTCTGGATGCAGGGATCGTATATCCTATATCAGACAGCCATTGGGTGAGTCCAGTGCAGGTTGTACCGAAAAAAGGAGGAATCACGGTGGTTCCAAATGAAAATAACGAGCTTATCCCTACACGTACAGTCACGGGGTGGAGAGTTTGCATTGATTATCGCAAACTCAACAACGCCACACGAAAGGATCACTTTCCCCTTCCTTTCATTGACCAAATGTTAGAGAGACTCGCTGGACATGCTTACTATTGCTTTTTAGATGGCTATTCGGGGTACAACCAGATCCCTATTGCGCCTGATGATCAAGAGAAGACGACATTTACATGCCCTTACGGCACTTTCGCTTATAGGAGGATGCCCTTCGGCCTTTGCAACGCTCCAGCCACTTTTCAACGTTGTATGATGTCTATTTTCTCAGACATGGTGGGTAATATCATTGAGGTGTTTATGGATGATTTCTCCGTATTTGGAAAATCATTCAAGGAATGCCTTGAACATTTGGGAAAAGTGCTGCAGCGGTGTGAGGACACAAACCTCGTATTAAATTGGGAAAAATGCCACTTCATGGTTCAAGAAGGGATTGTGTTAGGACATTTAATCTCAGCACGGGGTATTGAGGTTGATAGAGCTAAGATACAAGTCATCAAAAAACTTCCACCGCCGGTAACAGTAAAAGGAGTTAGAAGTTTCTTGGGTCACGCTGGGTTCTACCGACGCTTCATCAAAGACTTTTCCAAAATTTCGAAGCCATTGTGCAATTTATTGGAAAAAGGGGCCCCATTTCACTTTTCTGAGGAGTGCTTGACAGCGTTCAACACTTTAAAGGAAAAATTGGTTTCCGTTCCAGTGTTGGCTCCTCCAGATTGGGATTATCCGTTTGAACTTATGTGTGATGCCAATGATCATGCAGTGGGGGCAGTGTTGGGTCAATGCAAGGATAAGATTTCTCATGTTATACACTATGCTAGCAAGACTTTAGACGAGGCTCAAATGAATTATGCTACTACGGAGAAAGAGCTTTTGGCAGTGGTGTTCGCTGTTGACAAATTCAGGTCATATTTGATTGGGTCAAAAGTGATTGTCTATACGGATCATGCAGCATTGAAATATCTAATGATCAACAAGGACGCGAAACCAAGGCTTATTCGATGGATACTCTTATTGCAAGAATTTGATTTGGAGATCAGAGACAAAAAGGGGAGCGAGAATGTTGTTGCAGATCATTTATCTCGCCTTGAATCACATGAGTCATACCCTACGGAGGAGATCAATGAAGTTTTCCCAGATGAAATGCTCTTTCAGATTATCACTACGCCATGGTATGCCGATTATGTGAATTATTTGGCTCGCTCCATCATCCCACCAGAATACTCGAGTCACCAAAAGAAGAAATTCTTCAGTGACCTAAAACACTACTTTTGGGATGATCCAATCCTTTACAGAAGGGGTCCAAATCAGATCATATGCCATTGTGTGCTAGAAGTAGAACAACATCAAGTATTAGAATTATGTCACTCTGAACCGTATGGGGGCAACTTTACAGCAACCAAGACAGTAGTAAAGGTACTACAATTGTGTTTTTATTGGCCTACATTGTTCAAGGACACACATTATATGGTGAAGAACTGTGATAAGTGCCAGAGAACTGGAAACATCTCAAGGAGGAACGAGATGCCTTTGAACGGTATCTTGGAGGTTGAAATATTCGACGTTTGGGGCATTGACTTCATGGGACCATTCCCTCCATCCTATGGTCAACAATACATACTGGTGGCAGTGGACTACGTTTCTAAGTGGGTCGAAGCTGTGGCTTTACCAACTAATGACGGCCGGGTAGTGACTCAATTTCTGAAGAAAAATATTTTCACAAGGTATGGCACCCCGAGAGCGATTATTAGTGATGGTGGAAAGCACTTTTGTAACCGCCTCTTTGCTTCGTTGTTGGCCAAATATGGAGTGAAACATCGTGTCTCGACTCCATATCATCCTCAGACTTGTGGGCAAGTGGAAATTTCCAATAGGGAATTAAAGAAGATTCTTGAAGCTACGGTCAATGCATCACGTAAAGATTGGGCTAAGAAATTGGACGATACACTTTGGGCGTATAGAACAGCATTTAAGACTCCAATTGGCATGTCTCCATATCGACTAATATTTGGAAAGGCGTGTCACCTACCCGTTGAGTTAGAACATAAAGCATACTGGGCGACACACTTACTCAATTTCAATATGAGGGCAGCAGGAGAAAAGAGAGTTCTACAACTTCATGAGCTAGATGAGTTTCGTTTGAATTCATATGAGAATGCAAAGATTTACAAGGAAAAGACCAAGAGATGGCACGACAGGCATATAAGGGAGAAAGAGTTTGAGGTTGGTTAGCAAGTGTTGATGTTCAATTCACGCCTCAAGCTTTTTCCAGGAAAGCTAAAGTCTAGGTGGTCGGGTCCATTCACAGTGGTAGCTGTGTTTCCACATGGTGCTGTGGAAGTGATGTCTCAAGATCAACAAAGGAGATTCAAAGTAAACGGACAACGGTTGAAAGTGTATTGAGGAGGTGACTATTCCAATGAGAAAACAACCGTGCCACTTGACAATGTAGAGTAGCCAGGACAACAAAGTCTAGCTAAAGACTATAAATAAAGCGCTTATTGGGAGGCAACCCAATTTCTGAACCTTTTAGTTATTTTGTTTTCTGCATTGCATTGCATATAGATTTATTTTAATTGTTAGTTGCATTAGATTTAGGCACGTTTACATTTATACATTATCATCATCTGGTCATGTTTTCATTGCAGCCCTTAAATATAATGTTGGTTATTTCGCGTGTGTGGACTAAGTAACATAGGTTTTGGATTATTTGATCTCTACTATTTGATGATTGCCATATGCAAGAACATGACGTCGTGGAACACTCAGACCAACATCGACCAAAGGGAAAGCATGATGAAAAAGATTGTCTAGCCGTCACCTACAGTACCTTCCACAGAAAAATTCGAGGAGTACCTTCGTCCTTTTCCTCCCCATCCCCTTATTTTTTACTTATGTTTTAAGACATTGAGGACAATGTCTGGAACCCGCTTGGGGGTGAGACAACACTTTGTGTTTTTGGTTTTCGTATGTTTTCGTGTGTTATATTTTTATGTTAAAAAAAAAAAAAAAAGAAATTAGTTAACTTTTTATTTTTGTTTGTTTGTGTGCTTGTGTGGGTTGGACAATTTGGCTGACAATGATGATTAAATCTGAGATTTGGTGTTAATTTATGAACTGTGGATAGGGAGCATGCTAGACTGATTGAAGCTTGAACTTGCAAAATTTGATATTATATATGCACTGAAATTGAGTTGACATTGTGATGAAATAAGTTGATTCATATGCTTTATAGGTTGATTTAGTTGAACATAGACGCTTTATCCATACCATACAAATTATTTATCCTTAGACCAAATTTAGAACAATTTGGGGGTAATTTTGCTATTGTAGGAAGATACGGATATGGGCAAGGATTCCATGTGTGAAAACTTATGTGTGGATTGTCTTAGACTAACAGGATAAAATTGGGTAAAAGTCTTGAGTTGGAGGTTGATTTGATTGGATAAATGTATGATAAAGGGCATTGCACTAATCAAGGCATATATTTTGAAATTAAAAACTTCTCTCTAAAGCTTTTATGACTCGAGTAATTAAGCCTGTAAGGGTATCTTAAAACCTGATGCCCTAAAGTCATCTGACTTGGGAGTCATCGGCCTAAAGCTCGTTACAGGGGTTATTTAGAAAGCAATCAGGGATGAAGTTGCACTTGAAAAAAAAAAAATAAAACTTGTTCTCTTCGAAGCCTTTTTGACTCGGGTTATTAAGCCTGTAAGGGTGTCTTAAAACCTGATGCTCTAAAGTCATCTGACTTGGAAGTCATCGGCCTAAAGCCTGCTACATGGGTCATCTAGAAAGCTTAATGGAGAGAATAAAAAAAAAAAACTCTTAAAAATCAGAAAAAGCAAGTGCATGAAAAAAGCAAAAGCACTAATTGCCTTGTTAAGTCCGAACACTTATTCCAAAAAATTTGACTTTTCAATGAAGGATAATTAGCCTAGTTGAGTCCTAGCGGTTGAAGCAATCAATTAATTGAGAATCTTTGTTCATTGATGTATTAACTTGCAACTAGTGACGTCCACCTGAACTAGAGAGGGTAATGATAGTAATGAAAAATTCAACCTTAGATCACCTGCTGGGAATTGAGTGAAAATAATAAAGTTGGGGCTATGTGAATCTTACGAGAGATGAAAGAATATATTTGACCATAGAGGGTTGGAAATTAAAACAACTTGTGAAGTCATTAGTGTCTACTTAATTTTTCAAACACACACGTCGATTTTGCATTGGAAGAGTGAAAATTGGTTTGGTATTGCAACTTTGAAGCAGTTTATAGAGTTAATTCGGTGATCTCAAATGCTGTGGTAAAAAGTTGGACTGTCCAACCAAAAAATTTTTTTGCATGCTTGTATGTTTGTTGTTACTTAGATTTCAGTTTTGTTTGAGGACAAACAAAGATTCAAGTTTGGGGGTTTGATAAGTGTATTTTATACACTTATTCGGGGCTCTAAACTATATAATTTTATTGTTCTTTTGGCAAAATATGATCTAAATTTTATTTTATTATTTTTCTTAGGTAAAACTCATGTTTGAACGAAGAATTGAAGAAAGACACAAAAAGGGCGAAAAATGGAACAATCTAAAGTAGTGGACTAAGTTGGACGTTGGATGGAAGTTGGAGATCAAATTTTGCACATTAAAAGAATTGAAGACTTGAAGAAAAATAATCTATTACGTGGGCCTCAATTGGACTTGTCCTGGAATTCAAATTTAATATTATTTTGGACCCCTAATTGGGCTACAATAAGGGTTTACTTGTTGAGGTATATATATACAAACACATGTAGAAAAAAGAGGAGGGCAGCCTG